GGGGAGGGGGGGGAGGGGGCGTGTAGGCACAGCAGGAGAAGAGCCTTCTCCCTCTCCCCCAGCATGCCAAGCAGAAATCGGGGGGGGGGGGGTCACTTGACCCCACATGTCCCCCTTATGTGTGAAAAGTGTCCACTCATGGGTGATGTGGTGTTTTTGTCTTTTATCATTTTTATGAGTGTTCATTTGAATGTGTAGTGATTGTCTCATCTCATCCACATAGTTATTACTGGGGCAATTACTGCATGGGATGAGGTACACTACATGTTGTGATAAGCATGTGAAGGACCCATAGATCTTGAAAGGTGTATTGTGGGGGATATTGATCATCATAGCAGTGGAGATATGGCTGCAGGTTTTGCATCTGTTGTTATGGCAGGGTCTGGTGCCTCGCTGAATACATGTGCTGCAGAGAATTAAAGATTGTTTAAATATAGCTTTTCCTACTCCCCTAAATAATGGAATATCAAGTTCAGCTCCCAACAAAGGAAGAGAAGTCACAACTGACAAATTGATGGAAGTAGGAAACCGAGCATAACACACCACAGCTGCATACATACAGAGACCACAGTCATTACAGTGAACTCAGTATCAGACCTTGAGAGTGAAAACTACAGGCTGCTACTGTTTGGGCTATGAAAAAGCAGTAGGCTATTATACTTGCCAGGGCCAGCCACTAGAGGGAGACACAATCACACATACTCACACTAGGCAACTAGCATTTTGTAGACAGTCTGCCTTTCCTTAAGAATCCCAGTGAAATGAATGAAAGGCAAAGCATCAGAGGTGGATTTGCCAAGTTTGTTAGCAGATAAAAATTAGTTAAAAAATAAGACATTACAAAGGTCATTTTCTATTCAGTTACCTTTAGAGCAGCCAGTAATTTCTTTTGCAGCTAACATGCCTACAGAACGTCACCATGGCTGTCAAAAACGTGGAAATGTTTCTTCAATTCTAAGTAGCAGATTTTGTTGGAATGTGATCCTACTTTAAGGAAGAAGACTGTAGATTTCAGACCCGAGAGCTGTTTAACAGAACCACTGAAGCCTATCTGATCACCCCCTCTGAAAACGTCACCCATATGACAAATTATTTGATTAGGGTTAATACTGCATGGGAAGATATCTTAAATGTCTCCTTTCATATGCTCACACCTCTGAAATCACTAAAGAAACAGCACTCTTTGTAAAATAATAAAAAAATAATTTTGCTCAGATTTTCACCACAGAAAGTCAGACTAAAAACTGGAAAAGATCATGAGGCGCCATATTTCTTGAGACAGCTAGCAAAACCTACTGCTGTTTCCAATAATTAACCAGTGTCCTGTGTCCACTAGAACAATAATACTTTCTACCTTCTAGAGTTCATGGTGCTCTGCAGACTTCAGCAGGTTAATCCTCAAATTACCCCCGGTGAAGTTGGGCAATATTATTTCAATTTTACAGATGGGTCAGAGAGTTACGTAACTTGCCCAATATCACACAGCAAGTCTGTGGCAGAGCTGGTACTTCCTGACTCCCAGTCCTGAGCTTCAACCATTAGACCATTCTCATTCCCAGTGACAGAAATCATGAATAAATTGACATCAAGACAAGCTCTCAAAATACCCAGGAAATTTACTTTCTTGGGCGAGAAAAAATCCACGGTGCAGTTTATGAGTGATGGGTTTACGGTGTTAATGAGACAAACCCTGGGAAGAAAATCTTGTATTGAAGAAAAGTGCCAGAACAAGGAATCTTACAAGAGCTGATTCCATATAGAACGTGTGTGAATTGTTGAACAGTTACAAATGAAGCAAATGGAGTTAGAAAAAAATGAAAGGACATGTGGTAATATTAACTGGGATTAAAAATTATAGGGGGAAATAATTGTTGCCTGGGTTGAAAATATAACCAGTAGCAAAAATGCCAGCAGGTAACACAACTGATAGGGATATTTTGTTAATATTTATCTTTTTTTTAAACTACAGAAGCAACCCTACATTCTTCTTTCTAAGCTAGATATACACCAACAAAAAGCTGGATGTCTGGAGTTTATACATTCCCACACACAAAAACAAGTTAGCAAACTAACCCAACACAAAGCACACCATGGCAAATGTCTTCCATTAACCAAGACAATAACCTGTTTGTACACTGAGCTACAATTACCGCCCACACTCCTATTTCAAAAAGGAAACAGGGAGAATGAAGTTTTGCCATTTTCAAAATTTGTAAGTGACTATTGGGTTGCTTTACCTCTCATAGTATCTTGCATTAGTTGTCTCGAAATTAAATCCAGTTAGCACCATGCTAGTCATTTTACGGGTAAGGCATAGGATTCTGAAATAAATCTTCTACCCAAAGAAGTACGAGGACTGGTATGATTTGAAAAGGTTTCTAGAACTTTTGGAACATTGGACAAAAGATATTGGGCTTGATTCTGCAATCACTGGGGTTGCCCAGGTGCAGACAATTTGGCCCACTGGATACCTACAAACTTGTTTAAACAAGAAGTCTTGTAATGGTATCAGGTGAAATTTTCAAAAGCCTGGGCCTAACTCTGTTCCCACTGAAGACACCTGAGTGCAGCACCTTTGAAAATCCTCCCTGTAGGTGATAATTAAATATTTTTGCTGTGCAACATGAGGTTGTATTTGAATTTTCCATTCAATTTATAATGATATTTGCCAGGTTTTCCCATTTAACAGAAACTTCTTACAAGCAATAATGTCCCACAGGTTCAATGCTAGTTAGGTACTAGCTCAAGCAGTAAATTTTAAGACACATTGGTTTTGCGTCTCTCTTCCCCTCACTCCATCCCAATGACCATATAATATTTAATATCTTTGTAGTAGAGTCTGATTTGGCCCTTTTAATCAGTACACATCCCAGCACTGGGAAGGCTGCTGGGTGACACTTGAGATCTGAAGTATGTGAGTAAAAATAACCTGCCTTCCACTAGACATGATGAACACCAGACAGCTGAGTCACCTTTCAAGCCCCTTTTGATTTTCCAAATTAAAAAAAAATATCAAAGAGAGAAGGATTAAACATCCAAAAATCAGAGCAGCACAAACTGAAAACCCCGCAGTTCAGATTCCATATGTCCTTTAGATTTCTCTCTCTCTCATCGCAGGCTGCAACTTTATTTCAGTATCTAGTACTCACTCCATCTATGGGTAATGACATTTAAAGGGACACAGTCAACTTTAATTTATCTTTTATATCAGGCAATTTCAAAAAAAGTTTCATTTCCAATACAGCGTGTACTGAGAATTAAGGGATTTTCTGCTCCACTGTTAATGTTTATAAGGGTATTTTTCAGCAAGGGAGAAAGGTCCAGATCTTTAAAAGGTATTTAGGCACCTATTTCCCATTGAAATCATATTTAGGGTTTTACATAAATATCTTTGGGGATCTGGGCCAAAATGATTAAGGATCCCATCCTGCAACTGAACAATTGCACCCTTGAGAGTCTGGTGCTCTGCAAGGGCTCAAGTCATCACCTGCAAGGATCCAACTACAGGATCAGGGTCTGACTAACACATGGTAAAGAGTGAAAGTGACCATACATCAGTGTTCATTTGACACCAAACCAAACCAGCTGGGGGCGAGAGGGACACTTTACTAACTTCTTTCAGTATTAGTGATTTTAGACTAATTGCAACTATTGGAGATAAACAAGTTTCAAGCCAAACTGTGATTTTCAAGTTGACTGGGACCCTTTACACTGAGGTCTTCTTAAAGATGCCCTAAACCAGGGGTAGGCAACCTATGGCACTTGTGCCGAAGGCGGCACGCAAGCTGATTTTCAGTGGCGCTCACACTGCCTGGGTCCTGGCCTCCAGTCCAGGGGCCTCTGCATTTTAAATGAAGCTTCTTAAACATTTTAGAAACCTTATTTACTTTACATACAACAATAGTTTAGTTATATATTATAGACTTATAGAAAGAGACCTTCTAAAAATATTAAACTGTATTACTGGCATGCAAAACCTTAAATTAGAGTGAATAAATGAAGATTCGGCACACCACTTCTGAAAGGTTGCCGACCCCTGCCCTGAACAATAGAATAAGTAGAGATCCATCAGGAAAACAGAGCCATCCATGTGCATTTGCCAACTAACATATGTGAATGAGAACATTCGCTGCCCCTTTCATTATGTGTGTGAAAGCTAAAACAACTCAGCAAAGAGCACATAGACCCTAGAAAATTGCTAAGGGCCTCAAAGTTTAAGGCCAGAAGGAACCACTAGATCATGTCTGACTTCCTGTATATCACAGACCACCAATACTCCCCAGCACCGACACACTAAGCCCAACAACAAAAATTAGACCGAAGTATTACAGCCCAGAGGAGACTAAATGATTATGTGCTATAGGCTATGAATAGGAAGGACCAAGGTACAATAAAGCCTGTGGCCCCTGCAATAGCAGGGAATTGATTAAGTGAGATGTACCCAGATAACCCCTGCAAGTGACCTGCACAGACTGGATGGTCCAGAAAATAGCAAAATCACCCAGGAAAAAAAAATCTGGGTCTAATCAATTACGTCAAATTCCCTTTGGGGGGAAGGGAAGGAAATTCTAGCACCTCACACAATCTGCCACTGATTTGTGCTGAAGAATCTATTCAGCTGCAACAGACCAGTTATAAATCAGGACAGGCCTGTGATTGGAAAATAAAACAAACCCCAGCCTGGGAAGCACAAGGACTGAGAGAAGCCGGATTGCAAAGAAGGAAGCCCACATTCAGCAGCCAGAAACCCTGCTCTGGAAATAGAGATGGTTAAAACTAATTTTCTACTTAAAATAATACATGCATCTCAAAGCCCTTGCACTTTGCAATGCCTCTGAAATCATGCAGCAGGGAGACCCTAGCTGGCACCTTCCCATCTATTCCCCACCCACCCACGCAATTCAAATGTTGCTGAGCTCAGCTGCTCCCAAGACAGACAACCCCATCCCTTCCCCCACCCCTCCAGGCAGCCGGGAAGCAGATTTGCACTTGGGGATGAGGAGGAAGTTAACAGCCCAAGGGGATGGTTAAGAGCCCGGGTTACAGCACTGGGGAGGCAGTGGGAGCCTGGGGGGCTACCCAAGGGGGATCCTGAGGGGCTTGCAGTCAAGGAGAGGGAAATGCAGCAGGTGGAGTGGGAGAAGGGGGAGGATGATAACCATGCAACAGTGGGAGGTTTGCTGCTTGGGGTTGGAAAAGAGTGAGAGAGCTGGGGGGTGGCGGGTTTGCAACTGGGAAGGGGGTAGGTTTCCAGCCTAGGGAAGATGCAGTAGGGGCTGCCACAGATTTGCAGTGAAGGCAAGGGGTAGAGGAAGCAGGGGAAAAGGGGAGATTTGTAGGTGGGGTAAAGGCAGTAAGGAGGTTGCAGCAGAAGGGAAATGAAGCAGGGTGGGTGAGTGTGAAGGGGGAGGGGGTTGAAGAAGGGAAATGGGGGAGGTTTGCTGCCTGGGAGGAAGGGAATGGGGGAGGTTTGCTGCCCGGCTGAGCGGGAAAGGAAGGAGGTCTG